TTTAATTGCTCCATCATCCTGATCCACACCCACCTCCCATATTTCGTGGCCAGTTTAGTAATACCTCCAGTGCAAATTGCGCTGGCCTAGTAACGCGAAAAGCTGGGTCTCTCCCACCGAGGCACCCTCTTTCCTCCACAGGGCCGAGCGCCTCCTGCAGACAGAGACCAAAAAGAAACGGCATCCTCAGCCGTAGCAACGGTTTCTGTGTACAGCGGCGCCGGGACCCGGGGGCCCCACAGCCCCGCCGCAACGGTCTCTGATCTCTCCCCAGCGCCCTGGCTTGGGTCACCAGGGCTGAGTGCGCCGGCGGACCCGGGAACTCCAGCGTTGCCACCGCGCCCCGACACCCGACACCGTCCCCCGCGGCCTGGAAAGCCCGTGTGTTCCCAGGCCGGGAAGTACGTCCACCCCACGGCTCCCTCTCCCTCGCTGCCCACCGCCCCTTCGCCTTCCCCTACAGCCTCTCGCCCCCGCTCTGGGAGAGAAGGACTGACACGCGGCACATCCTCTGTTCCCGGCCCGCAGGTACACACAGGCACTCACCTGCTTCTCCGCGCCCCGCGTTCGGGAGGTCGCGGTCGCTGCACCAGCTCCGGCTGCGCCGCAGGTGATGAGGGAGGGGCGGGTCGCCCCGCCCCGAGCCAGAGGCCACAGGGCCTGTTGGTCGCGGCCGGGGCGGGCATTAGGCCTCTGCCACGCCCCGACCCGCTGTCGCAAAGATCTGCCCAATGGCCCCGGGTTCACCCTTCTCCGCCTTCATTGGCAGAGGATCATTTGAGCAGAAGAGTTGGTGTGAGAGGTCGCCTTCCTCTCGTTTGAGTTTCAATTTGTTGTAGAGTTAAAACGCTGGCATCGGCCAGGCACAGGGGCTCACGCCTGTAATCCCAGCACTTTGGGAAGCTCAAGCGGGAGGATGGCTTGAGGCCAGGAGTTCGAGACCAACCTGGGCAAAAAAGTGAGAGCCTGCCTCTACAAAAAAAAATAACTTAAATAAAATTTTTGTTTTTTATTTATGTATTTGGTTTTTTTTTTTGGAAGCAGAGTCTTGATCTGTCGCCCAGGCTGCAGTGCAGTGGCATGATCTTGGCTCACTGCAACCTCCACCTCCCAGGTTTAAGTGATCCTCGTGCCTCAGACTCCCGAGTAGCTGGGATTACAGCCCACCACCACACCTGGCTTTTTTGTATATTTAGTAGAGATGGATTTCACCATGTTGGCCAGGCTGGTCTTGAAATCTTGACCTCAAGTGATCTGCCCTCCTCAGCTTGCCAAAGTTCTGGGATTACAGGTGTGAGCCACCATACACACCTGGCCCATAAATAAAATATTTTTTAAAACGCTGTTATTGTTCTGTTATCCTGGACTGCTGTATTCCCTGCTAAGTAAATTAATCTCCTATTTAACTATAAAAAGTAATTAAAATTTCAGAGTTGTTGAGAAATGCTGAGTGTATGATAAAATATAGTCTGCTAAGAACGATGGCAAGGAAAACCTATCCACCCCCCACCCCCAGTGGAAAACTACCTGGGGCATTCTAAAGTGGCAAGACAGTATATGTAAACCATACACCGGTTAAAACAATTCTTTAAGCACAGGACATGTGACCTGGCCCCCGTGGCTCGCTCGTGGAGAATACTTTCTAGTTGGTCTGTGATCAGTGGTAATCAGGCACCAGCTGCCTATCTAGTTTATGTTGGTTCTATGAGAAAACACAGAACACCTGTTTGTTAATAATAATCACCTGTTCAGAGAGAATAAATAATGTGAGTCACTGTCTGCTTGAGGCCTTCAGCCCAGAATGCTGTCAGCCCTCTGAGGCTCTCAGCTCAGAAGACTGTTGGTTCCTCCAGATAATCCCACTTTGCTGTTCTATCTGGGTGTCTGCTTCTTAATTCCTTCAGCACTGCCTGGGTGGGGGTCTCTACGACCTAGTTGGTCTCGGTATAGAGTGCACTGCAACCAAGATTCACTTACCTCTTCCCCTTTAAAAAAAAAGTAAAAGACAAGATTCCCTCTTCCTTTTCAAGCATTCCTCATTTTCTGAGTGATGGTTATGAGTCAGGCACCATACGAAGCACAGGGATGAAAAGGTGAATAAGACAAAATATTAATACAGTTCAGATGAATAAAATAATAGCGGTTGTCTGGAAATTTCAGTTTTATAATTTCAAACTAGTTAAAATAGATGAACATCAAAGTTTATTTACAGTGCCTAGCAGTTCTGTAAATGTATTTCTCTTTCCTTTTTGCACTTTAATTACAGACCTGCAGTCTACCACCAAGCACTGTTAGTGGCAAAAATTCTAATGCTCAGCAGGACACAGTGGCTCATGTCTGTAATCCCAGCACTTGGGGAGGCCAAGACGGGCAGATTGCTTGAGCCCAGGAGTTCAGACCAGCCTGGGCAATATAGTGAGAGGCTGGCTCTATAAGATAAAAAATTTTTTAAATGATCACTTTAGTGATCTTCATAGAGGTAAAAGAAGATATCATCCAAGAAACAAGGAGATAAAATGAGGCCTGGTAAAGTTACTTAGCTAGATAACAAGGGGTGGTGTGTTGTTTGGACCCAAAGCCTTGCACCAAAGCCCGTATTGTTTACTGATCTCTTAATTACTAACCAATCCATCAGTAAGTCCCATTGGCTCAATCTCAAAATGTAACTCACAGCCAGATACTTATCACCTCCACAACTACGGCCCTGGCCCAGCCACCATTACCTCTACTTATTACAGATGGTCTCGTTTCCTTGCTGCCGCCTGTCCTATATAGTCCATTCTCATACAACAGCCTAGTAATTCTTCATGCCACTCTCCTGCTTACCGTCCCAATGGCTTCCCATCACAATACCCTAAGTGAGCTGACCTCTTCTGTCCACCTCTGCAACCTCATCTTCTCCCGCTATCCCTCCTGTCATGAAGTTTGAGTCACATGGGCTTGATTCTGAAGTGGGAACAGGATTAATCTCACTTTTCACCCCAGAGCTTTTACATGGAGTGTTTTCCCTATTTCAGTGTTGTTCTTTCTCATCCTTCTGTCCTCTCTGCTCAAATAACCACTCCACTTAAACTTCTAACACAGAACTCATTCTAAGGAAGGATGAGGACATGGGTGTATTACGTATGATGAGGCAACTTGTCACCCAGTCTGGAGTACAGTGGTGCAATCTTGAGTCACCACAACCTCCACTTCCTGGGTTTGAGCAATTCTTATGCCTCAGGCTCCCAATTAGCTGGGATTATAGGCACACACCACCATACCCAACTAATTTGTTGTATTTTTAGTAGAGACGGAGTTTCACCATGTTGGCGAGGCTGGTCTTGAACTCCTGAGCTCAAGCAATCCTCCTGCCTTGGCCTCCCTAAGTGCTGGGATTACAGGTGTGAACCACCGTGCCCAGCTTTCATTTTTTAATTTTTCATAAGTCCAATCTCTTACAATAGCTATCTTAAAGCACTGTTACCTCCATATGCCCATTGATCACTTGTAATCATAATTCCTCCACTTTGATAATGAAACTGAAAGGAAATCAAGTGAATTGGCCAGTCATTGAGTAGCAAGACTGGATTTGAAATCTCCATTTAGTGCTTTTCAGTGTGTCCACAGTCAGTAAGCCACTGATAGCGTGCCAAATTATGTGCTAACATCAAGCTCAAGCTTACTAATTTTCATATTTTAGAGCACTATTCAAAAGAATGTTTTTAAGGCAATTTTATGTCAGTTTTTTTCTTGAAACTGTCTAGGTAGGTAAGAGGTAAAATTACTTCTAGTTTCTAGATGAAGGGAGCACAACAAGGTAAGTGGCTGACTGGGAGCAGACTGAGTTCCAGCTGTCATACTTTTTGCATCAAGTTCTTCTGCCCAGTTAGCCAGGTAACAATATTCAATTAAACTACTGATATGCTAAGGATTTAGAAGAATTAAGTGTAACTTTACATAAGTTGGGGTTTATCTGTTTAGGGAACTGTCATAAAGACACACCATGTATTGGGATTCCCGCATCTATAAAGTTCAAGAAGGAATATACCAGAATTATAAAATTAAGAAAGCTCCATTTTATTGCCAGCCTGGGTAATGTAGTGAGACCTCAGTTCTACTAAAAATTAAAAGAATCAGCCAGCACGGTGGTGTGTGCTTGCAGTCCCAGCTATTCAGGTGAGAGGATTGTTGAGTCTGCGAGATGGAGGCTGTAGTAAGCTATGATCATGCCACTGCACTGCACAACTCCCTCCTCCTACAACAGAGAGAGACCCTGTCTTAAAAAAATAATCTCGGCATGGCAGTATCTCATATAGCATGTAATAAATTTATAGAATATATGAAGATGGTAGTCAAAATACAGGTGTTTACAAAATGATGGACAATATTTTGAATGTAAAAGACAGACATAGCTATTAATAAAGTTGGAATATATCAAATCTTTAAATTGCATGTCAGGATGGTCAACATGACATTCCAGAACCATGGAATACCTGAACAGAATATCGTATAGTGACCATTAATTCAACATCCGTAAGATCAAGGCTAAAGATTTAAACATTAATCCAGTAATTCAGCGTAAGCCAATGCTCCCCTTCCCAACCCTTGACTCAGGATGTCGCCCAGTCCATCAGGCTGGAGTGCAGTGGCACGATTATGGCTCACTGCAGCCTCAAACTCTGGGGCTCAAGTGATCCTTCCACTTTAGCCTCCTGAGTCACTGCCTGCTTTTTTTGCATCCTAAAGCAGAACTGCTGACTTCAATGAGTGATTAAACCTATGAAACTGCACTTGGCTTAACAGCCTGCTTCTTTGCTTGGGGTTGATTTTGCCTTACAGAAGGCAACAATTAAAGTTTCCCTTCATTATTCTGAGATTCAAGAATCAAGCATTATATGAAAATACAAAAAGGCCTATACCAAGTAATAAATGAAAAACTGAACTCAAGATGATGTATGGCATATTGACACCAAGCACAATGGTATACTCCGTATCAAATGACACGGCGACACAGAACAGTGGTTTCCAATAAATTTATTTAATCACAACTTCAGAGGGTTCTAGAAACTTGCATTTTTAACAAGCACCGCAGATGATTCTAGGTTTTGATTAGAAGTGTGGTTTGGGTAAGCAACTTTACCCTTAATTGTGTGTCAGATTACATACAGAGTAAAACAAAAAGTCATGTAACGGAACAAAAAATAGCTTTATACAAAATATTAGTAGATAAATACAATATGGTCTTAAAAATAAAATCATATGTATATAGTTGTATTCCTAAGTACAGCAGTGCCTCACTCATTCCAAGTTTCCTTTCTGTGGTTTCAGTTATCTGTAGTCAACGACATCCAAAAACAGGTTAGTACTGTACACTGTATAAGAAGATATTTTGAGAGCAAGAAAGACCAACCACATTCATATAACTTTATTACAGTATGTTATCATTGTTCTATTAATCTCTTGCTATGCTTAATTTATACATTACACTTTATCATCGGTATGTATATATAGAAAAAAGGTGTATAAAGATTTGGTACTATCTGAGGTTTCAGGAGTCCACTGGGGGCCTTGGGATGCATCCCCTGAAGATAAGGGGAAACTACTGTATGCAAAATCGAAAGCTATACAACAATTAGAAACATTGAGAGAGCAAATTAAATGAAGACATTCCTCTAAATTCCCAGGTTTCATCGAGCATCAAAAACGACCACTGGATTAATCTGAGTTAAGGACAAAAAAGGTACTTAAAACATTAAGATTGAAGATTTCAAAGTCATTTTGTCTTTGCAGTAAGCTGGTTTGTTATTTAACTGAAAATACAAAAAATAAAATTCACTATTTACTATGACAACTTGAGATAAACTAAAAACACTTTCAATTTTTATCTGCACGTTTTCCATGATAAAATGTATCAAAAAACACTAACGCAGGCCAGGCGTGGTGGCTCACACCGGTAATTGTAATCGCAGTGGGCAGACCTGTATTACAGCTCACGCCTGTAATATAGTATACAAAGTATTTGTATTTCTCCTTGTGAAATTAGGTTGTCCATAAACTCAAGCTCAAGAATGAGTGCTTATATAAATATAGTAATGCATCCATGATGTTTTGGTCAAAGATGGATCACATATAAACAGGGGTTGCATAAGACTATATTTTTGCTGTACCTCTTCTACGTTCAGATATACGAAAACCATTGTATTACAACTGTCTATAGCATTCAATACAATAACACGCTGTACAGGTTTATAGCCTAGTAGCAATAAGCTATACCATATAACCTATATCCTGTATATGTATACCATATAACCTATATCCTGTATATGTATACCATATAACCTATATCCTGTATATGTATAGCAGGATATACAGTCTAGGTTTCTGCAGGAATGATGAAATTGCCTAAGGACATAATTTTCAGAATGGATCCCTATCCTCAAGCTTAACTGCACAGAATCCCTAAAAAGTAAATTAATGAAAACCAAAATCAACTAGTATTATTTATTTAGAGCCTATGCATTGGTACATGAAAATGCTAATCACGTTTGTTTGTACTCTAATCCAGGAAGTTATCACTTTAACCAGAAATGAATCTTTATCAACCCCAGCATTATTCATTTCCTCCTTCCTCATATTTAGAAAGCATAGTTAAAAGGATACATCTTTTAGTCCTTTTCTTGTACATTATTCTGTATCCACATTCTCTGCATCTGATTGGATCCCTAGATTTTATTTCATTTTCTGTGTGACATTCTAAAAAAAAAAAAAAAAAAAAAAAAGCACATTTAGTCAATGCCTAAAAGGAAACTATTACAAATTATCTTAACTATATTTTTCCCCTAAGGCAATCCAAAACACGAAAATATACTCAATCTCAAGGGTCTGTTGCTATTACGAAATATATTAAGTAGGAAAGAAAAGTGTTGTAGGCAATGCACATTTCCAGGAGAGAGAATGAAATCCCAACCTTTTTTTTTTCCTGTTAGTAAACTGCAGACCCAAGACGAACCCAGGTCTACTGACCTCAACGAGATTTTTTTTTTTTTTAATGGTTGCTAAAGTGTTTTACTTTATAACTTTGAAGATCAGTAACTCATTCAAGCAAAGAACAAATTAAATAATTTCAAAAAAAAAAATCTTACTTTTTGTAAGTGCTACTCTTACCTCCACAGATATATATCATTGGTTGCTGCTTTGGAGGTTGAACGTCCTTCTGAGTGTCCATTGTTATCCCCTGAAATCACAGACTCAAATACTGAATATATCAAAAAGGCTTCTCACAAGTCCAACCGGGACCATTTTTCTCAAGAAAAGCTAAAAAGATCCCAATTCCTAATCGTTCTTTCCCCCAAATCCTGTGGGTTAAGTCTCAAGGACAAAACGCATACACACAAGTATTGAGCGTCTACCCCAAACTGGACACAATTACAACTACTTCATACATGTTATGCCATTATAATCTTCATAACAATCCTAGGAGACATCACTCTTATTTTACAGATGAAGCAACCTAGACTCAGACATGTTAACTTCCGCAGGATCACTCAGCTACTAAAAGGCAAAGGAATACAAAGCTCGCATCTTTGTTTAACATAAGCTCCATTTTCCCAAACTCTACCCGAAGTTAGCCAAAAACACTATAGCCCTCAACTGGGGAACAGGCTAACGGAAGAGAAGAACAATGAAATAACCCTACCAGCGAAACATCTAAACTAAAAAAAATACATAGGGAAAAGAGTGACAGCATGGATTGCATGCCCAGCCTCTCTCAACTCTACCCCAATACCGGACCTTTTTACCACAAGTCTCTTTCCAGTTTGAGCCCAAATATCCACCACAAACCTCAACCAACCCGCCAACTCGCTACCTACGCAACACAGGAAAACTCCGCGTTTCCAAATACAACCCGGCTCGTCTCGGTGTCGAGACCAACTTCCGGCGCTGGTATATGACGCACAGTGGCGTCGCTCTCTGCCTTTTCCGTCCTGGGCGTGGCCAGAGAGCCCGGATTGCGCAAAGGAGATAAAGCAGGGCTTTCTGTCTGTTAGACTCTACGGGTATAAGTGCCTGTTTGGCCCCCAGCTATTTTAATTTTTCAGGAGAGCAGTGCATTTTAAAAGTTATGCAAGTCCAAGGCGTCGTGTGTTTTTTACAAGTAGTGGTACAAAGTAACACTTTTCCAGAAGGGTAGCGGGTTAGAAAAAAAACCGAGATGACAGCGTCCGAGAAGTACTAGGCTAGCTGTCACTTCGACGAACATAGAAGAATCGACTACACCAATGATTTTCACATAGAAAAACGCTTTCCAGATTGTTTTAAAAAATTGTTTGATGCCTGTGCTGGGGAAGTGGGGCAGCTGCCTCCTATCCTCATGATTTATTTTTGCTTTCTAGCCCTTTCTCTCACAGGCTACTGTCACATCCGTCTCCCAGTCCTTTTACTTGTTTTAAAGCAAAGGCTAGCGTGACGATAGCCACATAAACAACTCCCACTTTAAGAGATTTTGGTAGCTTTCGCTGTCTACTCAACCTCTCTCCGTCCCTCCACCATGGAAGAACAAAATGCTCTGCTTGGTGGAGGTGCGTTCTTTCAAAGATCAAAATTGCAATAGGATGGATCAGTTAGCTTCAGAACCTTTAAATTTGTTTCCTTTTTTCCGCAGCAGATATTTTACTTAGTAGGGTGAAAAAATGAAGCTACTTAAAAATTTCAGAAATAACTTGTGTTAATAACTATGTTAAAGAAAGAAGCAGGCGTTCTTTCTCCCAACGCGCACTAGGTCTTTGATATTTTATTAAGCAGGTTATACTCCTTTCGGGCCCTCCGTCCAGAAATTTGAGAGCGTTGAGCCTCATCTTTCACTTCCAGAAGTTCAGGCTCCTGTTGCATCTCCACAGACCAGCTTGAGAGATTTAAGCTGATCTTTCCAGAAAGATGCCATTTAAAACCTTTCAGGGAAACACGGCAGTTCCTGGCTTCTTTCTTCATAGACAGGCTAACAGAGCATAAATATTTTAACCATAATCCCTGTTACAAAATACTTCTCCTTTTAACCAAGGAGGTGATCTAATACAAGAGTCACAATAAGCTTCTCTATAAGAACGATTAGATAGAACCATTGTTATCCTAAGATGACAGAGTGATCCACAAAGTCAAACTTTCATATTTGCAAGGTATCTTGTATTCTAACTCTCCAGTTAAAACATCAAGATAATTCTGGCACAGAACAATTTATGGCGATCAGAATGGATCAACATATGTAGAATACAAATGGGTCCTGGGACCCTACAGAAGGGCAAGGTAATGACAAGTCATAGCAGGGAGATCAAGAATTTCAACAAGAATTTGTGTCGTTTTTAGTTCCCAATCCAACATGCTCTTTCCTGTCAACAGAGACTGGTAGTTTTAGGATCACTACGGAGTATGGTCACTGTAAGTTACCTTATTATCAATGATAGCATTAACTAACTTTTTCTGTCTGACATGACAGACATTACTGCATTGCTCTGTTGTAATGGGGATAGTTGTCTTGCCATCCTGGACAACAGTGCTTTTAACTCTTTATTAAGAAGGTTATGGAAATGGAAGTTGCTATTTTTTCCCTGATTCTCTGTCTTTCCTTTTTCCTTGGTTATATTCACTTAAATATATCCAGATAGCTTGAATATCATGGTGATTTGGGAAATCTCCCATTATGTTTTATGGGATGGTCCCAAAAGAAGCATTAGATCTTGTGACAGGTATGTTTTAGAGTTCTGAAGTCAATAATGGGATGACACCCAATGCAAGAAAGGAAAGCAAAGGGTGGGCACAGTGGCTCATGCCTGTAATCCTAGCACTTTGGGAGGCTGAGGCAGGCAGATCAATTGAGTTCAGGAGTTTGAGACCAGCCTGGCCAACATGGTGAAACCCTGTCTCTACTAAAAATACGAAAAATTAGCCAGGCATGGTGGCATGCACCTGTAATCTCAGCTACTCAGAACACTGAGGTGCAAGAATCGCTTGAACCCAGGAGGTGGAGGTTGCAGTGAGCTGAGATTGCCCCACTGCACTCCAGCTGGGTGACAAGTGAGACTCCATCTCAAAAAAAAANAAAAAAAAAAAAAAAAAAAAAAAAAAAAAAAAAAAAAAAAAAAAAAAAAAAAAAAAAAAAAAAAAAAAAGGAAGCAAAAAGGCAAAAGACTGTAATGAGTAAAGAATATGAAAGTACAGCTCAGCAGCTTAAATCTTGAGTGTGTAAGTAAAGCTCAGGCAAACTGTATGTAACTTGGTGTCTTTTTGCCCATTTTTAGGTGGGGATAGGTGGCAATGATTCTTCCTTGAACAATATAAAGGAGACATGATATGATATGGTCATTTACTCCTCAGTCATAATAAAATATCTCAAGAAAAATTAACTGGAGAAAAAAGAAGAGGGTAATGCTTAAATGGTTTTGTGGTTATGTGGATTTTATTTAACCACAGGCAAAATTACCTGCCCTGTCATTGGGGTGGAGATGGGGAGCAGACATTAAACAAAATGAGTAGATAATATGGGATTTTAGAAGGTAATAAATTACACAGAGAAAATTAAGCAGAATTCTGCAAGAGGATTGTAAATGTGGGGCAGGAAAGGACAAAAAGGCTGTCATAGAGATTTGTTTGAAGAGGGTACTATTCACTCTACCAGGGAGTGTGGCGTAGGCTTCAGAAAGGGGCTGTCTTGAAGAATGTGTAATTCATTAATTCTTTACGGTCCTACAGGTACCTCAAACATAACAGACTCACAGTAAATGTGTCTTATTGTCTCCCAATCCTCTACTCTTCACTCCCTCACCCCTTGTCCCATGCAGTTGATTCTGCCAACTGAATATGTCATGTCTTGGTTCTGCTCCACCCCACTGTCTTCTGGAGAAACGCAGTAGCTCCCTACTGGTCTCCCGGCAGCCACCCTTGCCTCTCTTCATTCTGTCTTCCATTCTGCCACCAGAGTGGACTTTTTAAAATGCTCTTCAGACTGTTAATGTGCATCTAGAACTCTCCAAGACTTAGCTTCTTAACTTCTCAAGAATTTTCTCTAATCTGTTCCTCCAACAACTCTTAGTTTCTGCCTATAACAAATTATCTGCAGTTTCTCTATGTGCCCAAATGCTCTTGCACATTTTGAGTTTGAAATTTTCCTGCCCTTGTACATTTTAAGTTTGGAATTTTCCTGTTGTCTGCCTTTTAGATTGCCACTTGTACATCAAAATCTGTCTCATGCCATGGCCTTTAGGAAGGTAGCACCACACTCTCTTCTGCAGTAGGGTTAAGCTGGTTCCTCTTTCCTCTGTGTTGCTACTGTTCCTCTGTTACAGGATTTGCTCTGTGCCAAAGAGCTCCTTAACAGCAGTAACTGTGCCTTTGTCAGCTTTGTATTCCCAGTTGCTAGCCCAGTAATTGGCACCTAGTTGGAGCTTAATAATCGTTAGTGGCCAGGCACAATAGCTCATGCCTGTAATCCCAGCACTTTGGGAGGCTGAGGCATGTGGATCACTTGAGATCAGAATTTGAGACCAGCCTGGCCAACATGGCAAAACCCCATCTCTACTAAAAATACAAAAATATCCCAGCACTTTGGGAGGCCGAGGCGGGTGGATCACGAGGTCAAGAGATCGAGACCATCCTGGTCAACATGGTGAAACCCCATCTCTACTAAAAATACAAAAAATTAGCTGGGCATGGTGGTGCGTGCCTGTAATCCCAGCTACTCGGGAGGCTGAGGCAGGAGAATTGCCTGAACCCAGGAGGCGGAGGTTGCGGTGAGCCGAGATCGTGCCATTGCACTCCAGCCTGGGTAACATGAGTGAAACTCCATCTCAAAAAAAAAAAAAAAAAAAAATACAAAAATTAGCCGGATGTGGTGGTGGGCACCTGTAATCCTAGCTATTCAGGAGGCTGAAACAGGAGGATCATTTGAACCTGGGAGGTGGAGGCTGCAGAGAGCTGAGATCATGCCACTGCACTCCAGCCTAGGTGACAGAGTGAGACTCTGTCTCAAAATAATAATAATGTTAATGAGTTTGATTTTGGATGACTTAGGGACATCCAGATGGAGAAATGTCCAGTCAGAGAAGAGTGGTGGTAGTGCCTGTTACTGGCTTAAAAGCGATGGTTGAAGTTCTGAATGTGAATTAAGCATGGGATGATAAACTAATAAAAATGCTGAGGTAGGATGTCTCATTTATGGAGTAGGCCAAGGAAAAGAAACCAGAAAAAGGAGACTAGGAAGAAGCTGCCAAGAGCAGCAGGCATGTCCCTGGCATATAGGAGGTGCCCAGTAAATATTTATTGAATGAAAAAATTAGGGTTTAAAAAATATATTTGGCATTGAGGGTACTTGGGAGTTCACAATGCTCCAAAAGGAATGTTTGTAAACAATGAACACATTTCACTCTTGTTTTTATTAATAGATTTTTAAATAATCTTTTTTTTTTTTGAGACGGGGGTCTCACTATGTTTCCCAGGCTGGTCTCGAATTCCTTGGCTCAAGTGATCCTCCCTCCTCTGACTCCCAAAGTGCTGGGATTACAGAGGTGAGCTGCCACACCTGGCTCAGCTTTCTTATTACAAAATCTGTATATATTCCTTGTAGAAACACGAGAAGAAAACAGATTGAAAGACACAACTAAAAAGCAACATACTCCTATACAAAGGTACTTTATCCAAGTTATTCATACCTTTCAGACCTCATCCTGTGTTTATCCATATTTTCAACCTAAAAGGATTTATAACATGCTTTTTACATTTCACAGTTTGGAGAAACATTTCCAAGAGAACATTCTCCTACACGATTTCTAA